ACCTAGGTCCCTGAACCCCAAGAGTTATTCTTGTGTGCATAAAAAGATATCCAAACTCACACTTTGTGACACTACCCACCTTCTTGTCTGAAGGCATAACTGTTTATCTACTTTACAATAAATTCTACCTGTACTTCTGCATGACCACCTATGTATCTTGAATGAATTCTTTCATCAGGACACAAAAGAAACAAGGACTAAGGAGTGAGGGTCCCACTCCTCATTGCATCGGGATTCAGCTTCCTGGTGACAAGTATCCATTGGATTGCTACTTGATATGAATACATGTGTGTATGTATGTAGATGATTTCAGACATCTTGATTTGCAATATGTAGCTTGCCTAGTTAAAAAAAAAAGTGGTTTACTTATTTGTTTCTATTACATCAAGTTCTCCTCTGGATACTGGGAATCTGTTGAATAAAGGGCAAGATTAGTCAAGAAGGAATGAGCTAAGCAATAAATACATAAACAGTAATTCTCAGTGGTTTATTTTTATTTCAGGCTCACATTACATGTCCAGCATGGTGTGAGTGAGTGATTGGGGTGGGCAAATAGTGAGAGGCAGTGTTCTATTCCACTCAGATGGTCAAGATCCAAGGCTAACTGAGCTCAGTCTCCTTGGAATACAACATCCTGCTACTCCAGGATACTGTGACAGGACAGAAAAGAACCCCCTGCAAAGGCATTTTCACCCTCTCCGCCAGAAGTGATATACTTCCACTCACTTTTCATTGGCCAGAACAAGTCTCACGACTGCCTAGCTGCAAGGGAAGCAGGGCAGGGGCACCATCTATGTGTCCAGGAAAAAAAAGAAGTTAGGGAATAATATTATTATTTTCACATGCAAGTGAAATATGTTTCATTTGAATGTGCATGAGCATAATAATAAGGTATAAAGATGAGCTCAGTAAGATCTATATTAATCAGTGTGTAGATTATACTGCTGTTCGGGGACTCACATTTTGCACCAGGCACTGATTATCCCATATTATATATGTACATCATCTTAACTGGTGCTAAAACACCCTAATGAGTTGGTTCTATTATTTAATCAGCTAGTTTAATCTTCATGCAAGAACTGAGTCTATTCCCCTACCCCAATCACCCACTCACACCATGCTGGACATGTAATTTGAGCCTGAAATAAAAATAAACCACTGAGAATTACTGTTTATGTGTTTATTGTTTAGCTCATTCCTTCTTGACTAATCTTGCCCTTTATTCCACAGATTCCCAGTATCCAGAGAAAAATTTGATGTAATGGAAACAAATACCTCAATTTCAATTTCTATTGAAATTAAAGATGGGGCTCATAAAATTATGATATTTTTGAGAAATTATAACCTCCCATCTAACAAATACAGAGATCATGTAAGTCAAACTGTGAAGTATTTCTATATAATACTACATGTTCAACAGATTTTATTTTTATTATGTTGTTACATTTAGATTTTGGAAATGTTTATTAGAGTTAAGTTTGTGTCTTACTAAAGATCTGTCAAGTGATAAGTACACAGCTACATATCTCATATATCTGGCAATTTTATAGCTTAGACTAAAGATGAATCTGGGGCAGGCTTGGGGTTCTAAGAGTGTTACTACACAACTTGCCATCATTGAGAAGTTGAGAGGTTGTTGAGAGGAAAATCTTTCCATTGGTCCTCTAGCAAGCACATCAGGACATCTACCCTCATCTGGAAGTTCAACAGAATTGAATAGAAAAAAAATCAAAGGCAGAGAAGATCATTGATTGGTCTCCAGACTTCAGCATGCACATCACCTGGAGCTCTGCCTGGCTCCTTCTCAGCATTTTGAATTTGGTAGGTCTGGGGTCAGGTTCCAGAACCTGCATTTCTAACAAGCCCACAGGTAATACTGGTGCTGCAGTTCCATGAGCCACAGTTTGAGAACCACTGCACAGAGCCACACTTGTCCACATGTGGTCTATGGGTCAAGGGCGTCAGCATCAGCTGGATGCTTATGGGACATGCAGAATCTCAGATCTGCTGAGCCAGAACCTGCCCTTTATCAGGATTTCCAGGAGAGGTGCACTCACAGGGAGTCAAGGAAACATCTCACTGGAGGAGAGAAGAGTTTGCCCACAGTGTGAGCTCTGGAGAACCCAGCTGCTACCAGCGATGGTTCAGTTCCCTCAGTGCCTAGCACATTCAGCCACTGCCCACTTCTGTGTTACGATCAGGCTGCATGGGTTTTCCTGCTCTTCTCACCCCCAGGTGGAAGTAAACACCCTGAGCTGATTGCCCATTGTGAGTGAGTCTTGGGCATGGCCCCTGCAGTGGGAGCTACAGTGCCTCCAAGTGCACTGTACAGGGTAGGGTGAACAGCTCCAGGTTCAGTGCCAGCATCACCGCTTCATTTCTTTATGACTTTGAACATGACAATATCCCTAAGTCTCCTTCTAAAATGAGCCTAATGCAGAACCTACTGTACCTCACAGGATTGTTGTTCATATGTATACAGTCCTTAAAACATAAGCTGGTGTGGTGGCACATGCCTACAACCTCAGCATTCAGGAGGTCGTTTCAGGAGGATCTCAAGTTCAAGCTCAGCCCGAGCTGAGTACAAGACTCACCAGGCCTACATCTGAGACCCTATCTCAAGAAAGCAAAGCAAAGCAAAAATCCCAAAATGACCAAACAAAATGCAAAACACCACAGAAATAAATAATAAAAAATTTATTAGGACAATTTTGGGTAGGTAGTAAGTATTCCTTTAAAGTAATCATGTTCCTCTAAGCTGTTCAAGTCTCAGTTTCTGTCATGACTTCTTATGTGTGTGTCTAAACAGGGAACATGAGTTGTGCTGCTCTCCCTTCTCTTGATGGAGAAACCTAATTTTCTGTCAGATAGAGGAAAGCTTAGGTGATGCCTGAATCTCAGTGGCACATCAGGGTTAGAGGACACACCCAAGATGTGACATCCAGGGAGGAAGAGCCAGATACCAAGGAAGATGGCGAGCTGAGGCCAAACCCTAGCTCTGGGATGGCTGCCTCAAGTCCCCTCCAAGGATGACCAGACTATGCTTGGTGGGCCCTGAAACTCATCTGCTCACAAAGGCTGCCATGGCTTCTCTCATCTTTTTCCTCTCCACTGCCACCTCCTGCACCTTCTACCACTTGGTCAAATACGGCTGAGACAGAGAAAGAGAGAAAGAGAGAGAGAGAGAAGAGGGAGAGAGAGAGAGAGAGAGAGAGGAAGGAAACCAGTCTGGGAGGCTCTGCAGAGGTACCTTAGATGCCAGACTACCACTTTATTTAGACCCAGAGAAGTGCCTACCTGGTTCACTCCAGAACCCGGCTCAACCAGAGTTAGTCAGGCCCTGCTTGTCCCCCAGGCCTCACACTGGGATCAAGCTCTGTCTTTAGCACATCCAGCTGTGTTTTAGCAAGAATTCCCCCACCCTGTGCAGCTTCCCTCAGCTGCCCCTGGCTGCTCTGCCTTCATGGCGCCCACGTACCTGGGCTGAATCTGGAAGGGAGCCTGATCTCTGTCCTCGCCTCTGCAGTGGCTGAGGGCATTCTTCCTTGCCAGGGTGACACACCAGGGGAGATCTGTGAAACAATCCCCAGCATGCACCTGTGATCCCAGCACTCTAGGAGGCCAAGGCTGGAGGATCACACATTTGAGCCCAGACCGAACAACTTAGTGACTTAGCAAGACTCTGTCTCAAAACAAAAATTTAAAATAGAACTGGGGGTGTAGATCAGTGTGAAGGCCCGGGGTTGGATCCCTAGTACAAAAAAAAAAAAAAAATTACCAGACATAAGCACAGAGTAGAGAGGAAGCTGCCACAGCTTTGTGTCATCTCGGTGCTGCCTGCCACCCATTTTTAGACTTTTCGGCCTGACATAAACT